AGGTGCAATCCTGGGAGAGGGGGGGTGGGGCCTTCGCGCCTCCACGGCAAGCCTGGTAAGTCGGTGCACCCGCGGGTAGCGGGTTCAGATCCTCCCGCTCGCTCGGGAGAGGGTCTGAACCTACTCGGCCTGGCAGTGCGAAGGTTCGAGGACCTGTGGGGCGATCCGCTCGTGGCCTCTGCCGTCCCCCCTCGGCTTGAGGCACCGCGCCCGCTCCAGCCGACCCCTCGCCCTCATTGCTCGCCGATCGGATCGGAGGGCGGGGGGTGTCCTGGAGGCGACCGCGCCCTGCGAGACTGTGGGGTTGCGGTCGCATGGGTCGCGGGGGCCCTCCCTGGCCCCCCCCCCCCCCCTCTTCCTCATCTCCACCCTTCTCCTCCACCTCCTCGTCTCCCTCCTCCTATCCTTGTCGTGAGGGGTGTGCCGACGCAGGATTGCGACGCATGCGTACCGCTTGCACTATTTGTTGGTTCCTGCCACGGGCTCCATCCATCCGCCGCTTTCCGCTGCCGCTGCGCTGTGGCCGCAGGGAGTCGTTGTCCGTGGTCCGTCGTCTCCCCCGCCGTAGCCATTTTGGTTCAAACCCAATGCCCTGGTTCCTCCTGCAGCCTGGCCCAAGCCTTGGCAGTAGGGCCTCGGCCCACGCCCTGGCTAAGCTCTCAAGCGCCCACTCCCGTGCCCCTTGACCTGGACCCCGCCCGCGGTCGTTCGCTCCTCCTCCCCGCTCGTCCTCCTGGGCGCCCCTCTCTCCGTTGCCATTTTGGCTCAAGCCCCCTGCGCGGGTCGGTTTCTTTGTTGCCCCCGTTGGCGGCGCCCCCCGTGCTGCGACCCTCGGCGGTGGCCCTCCTGCCCCCCCCCTGTCGTCGCCCGTTCCGCGTGGCACCTGTGGCCATGCGCGGAAGGGCGTCGCGCATGCTTGCGCGGCCGACGGGGGGGGCGACGCGGCGACGGGGGGGCTTTCGGGGGGATTGCGGCAACCGCACAGCGGTTAAACCATGGTGATTTTGACGGCCGCGGCGATTACGACGTCGAGTACGACGGCGGCTGCGACGGCGGCGATTGCACCGACGATAGTTGCCCTCTTCGCAAAAAAATGAAAAATGTCTGTGCTATGGGTTAGGGGTGTCTTGTATTCTCCTCAGCTTCGGGAACATGAAGAGGAGGGGGCAGAACGTCTACGACAAGCTGAAGGCACCTCTGTTCGAACGTTATCTTTATCTCTCACGCAGAGGTCTGGCACCAAGCGCAGCTCTGCAAATTACCGAAACACAATGACAGAGTGAACCCGGGTGGAGAACGACCCATCATGACGGGTTGTGGTTTGGGCAGAACCTATTACCGACCACCCATGGATCCAGGGGGCGAAGAGCCCGTATTGGGCACCTGGAGGGATATCGCGTCGACGCCGAGAAGATGCTATAATGGTCCAGATGCGTGGTTCAGCGCGACTTCACCGCGCTGGTATCCATCACATTATTCGGTTTCACGACGCCAGCAACGCCTTCTATTTTGTACACAAATCGAATGCATAAGATGCCACTGATGAGCTAGCTCGAGTTGATCGGATTGAACTGTTCTGTCAGAGGATCCAGAGCAGCACGTTCACGATTGATGACGGTGTGCACAGTGGACACATGGCCAATCAAAGTGGGGTACTACCAGGCGGTCACGCCGCCGTCAATATAGGCGTGCGGCGCTGGAGTGCCACAGATGATCGACACCGCGAACGCAGGCCCATGGCGGCGGGCGCGCCACGTTCAACTGCCAGCCCCACTGCGAGCCGTACATGGCGACTCAGTCATTGACCTTGCCACTTCGGCCTCCGTGGAGATGTCGCGCGCAAGATCGCGGGCGCGAGCGCTCAGCACCTGTCCGACGTTAACCTTTGGGAAAACAACATCATTGCTAACATTCTCTTCGGATGAGCGCAGAACGTAGACAGCAAATGAATGAAGGCCAGGGAACGGGCCGCGCCACGGGAGCTCTTAACAGGAGTTTACACGAAAACCAGGTTCCACTCGGGGGGCAGGTTCTTTCGGGGCCCCGGTACCTTGGAGGCCGACACCACCGCAACAACGGGTTCTCGGCGGAGAAGAAGTTTTGACTGCAGGCCCTCAAGACGGCCTGGCACAAAATGGGCATGTTCTGGGCCACCCCCATGATCTCCACGAGGTTCAAAGGCATCGTGTTCTCGGAGCTCATCCTGAATGCGGCGCTCTCGGGATTGGAAGCTTTCGTCCTCAACGTGCGCACCCCGATCACGGAGCGGCCCCTGGGGCCCTTTTAAGCAGATCGCGCACAAATACGCTCGCGTCGTACTCCGCGGCCGCCGCGCGACAAAATTGTTTGACAGAGTCAGGGCACCGTCCAACATTGAGGTTCGACGACATCTTAAACATGTCACGCTCTTCACCGAGCCCCGCGTCCGCCGACGCAAGCGGCTGCAGGACACGGCGCAGCACCAGGGGGCACGCGAGCAGGCGACCGCAGCACGAGTAGGCAAAGCCACGTGTGAAACTGATTTTTTAAACATAAGACCTCAAGGACAGGTCCTCCCCGCTGCAAATCCCTGGTTGAAGCAGTTTTGGCAGGATGTCTAAGCTCTAGGAGGGGCCGCCACGGGCCCGGAGCTATTGGACGACATCGACGGCAAATTGTCGGGTCTGTTTTTCGGTTCTGGCCGAGAATTGTTCTGTGGGATAGATGTCACGGAATTGGGGTCTAACGAATTTGCCAGGGCGATTCTTCCCCCCGCATCGCTCGGAGGGGCAGGGGGGATCGCGGCCCCGCCCATGCAAGAAGGTGGACCTCACGACCCCGTGACTTGTCCCGTCTGTGAGGAAGATTTTCCCGATGAACGCAGCACGGTCTTACATTGCGCAGGAGTCTGCGCAAGAGGGTGGGGGGGCGCTGAACATCTTTTCCGCCAGGTCTGCTTGGCCAACAGAATCCCTCACGCTGCCGCGCTGTCGAATTATTGCATCTTCTGCAATGGCAACTTTTCGGATCGCGCCACCGCCCAGTGGCGCCATGCAGCATCAGTCTTGCATCAGAGGTGCGTGCCCGGTTTTTCTGCAGGAGCGCCCGCGAGAGAGGCGCGCGCGATCGCGCAGAGTCCGCCGTGCTTGTTTATTGCTCAGGCACCTGATCTGCAGGGCCGCCGTCTTGCCAGCGCGCGCGTCTTGCCGCCCATCGAGAACCGCGCCATCGCACTTCATGTCCCAGCGGCTCGGCGCAGCGCAGCGCGCGGGGGGCCGGCCGCAGGAGCAGGCGGCCGAGCGCGCCAAAGGGGCCGGCGAGGGGGGCTCGCAAGACATTGAGTTACATCTTTAGCTGGAGTCGCGAATGCGGGAGCGCGGGGCGGCGGGCATTCACTTCAAGGGCCCGTCGGGCCACCCTGTATTTATGGCGATCAAGGAGGCGACCTCCAAGTACGAGGCCCAGGTGAAAGCGGCCGGCGCAGGCCGCGAGTTCGGGTCGCCTCATCTTCGCGCAGGCGCAGCGCTTCTCACATCCTTGGCAGGGACTTCAACAGAGGGCAAGAACGACGATATAAAATGCATCTTCCTGGCCCTGCGCAGGCTGAACGAGGCTCGCGAAGCGGGCGGTCCAAGCGACTTCGAGGATTGGTGCGCCACGTGTCAGGCCAGCGAACTACAACGCGACGGCAAGATCGGCATGCAACTTCGACGGGCGCTGGCAAGTCGGGAAGAATTCCGACGAGGAACAGGAGGTCGCGAAAGGCAAAACCACCTGCAGGAACTCGACGCGGGCACCAACTTCACGTGGGTCACCGTGAACAGGCTGCTCACATTACGGTTCAGGGCAGCGGGGATCCAGAAGATGCCTGGCAAGGCACCGAGCCAGTGAGCCAGCTTTGAGAGAGAGAGAGAGAGAGAGAGAGCAAATTAGGGGTCAGTTTCACGTCTAGAAGCGATAGGACAGCAGACTCATCCAGGGTTTGGACGCGACACGGACGAACCTCCCTCGGTCGGCCTCGGAGCTTCCTTCCCTCTCGTACTTTCGTTCGCTCAGCACTCGACCCTGGGAGGATAGGCTGGCAGATATCAGACTGCGCATTTCACTTCGAGAAAATTTTCACAAGTAAGTTTTGGAGGCACCCCCGCCCCTGGGAATTTCAAGCCAGGCTCTGCGATATCCTCACGCTTGTTTAAGAGGTTGTGGATTGGACCCGGACATCGATGCAGATGCGACGACGACGACGACTCGGCCTCCTCCTCCTCGTCCTCCTCCTCCTATTTCTTCTCTTTGGCCCTGCTTCGCACGGTACTGTCTCAGTGCTTTGTTGTCTCGAGTTCTGGTCTTTTCACATTGTGTAATGGTGGTTTGCACAGTGCGGCCGAGAAGTCCCAGGGGTACATAACTCATGACTGGACATCGGTGGTTGGAATCAGATGCATAGTGCGTTTCCCTTCTTCTTCCTCCTCATCCTCCTCCCTCCTCCCTCCTGTTGCCTTTTCTTCGCTATGTGTAGGGGGTATCGTTGGTTTTTCGAGCACCGGGGGATATCGACATGCATGCAGAGCTACATTGTCGAGTTGATGTCCGGGCCACGGCTCATAGCATGAGTTTGTTTCTGGCAGGTCGGCTTGTGCTGTGTTCCAAGTTCGCCAAGTGGTCTTTTGATTTGCGATGTGGTTAGGTCACCCGTGGTGTTTATATATGCGTTATATAATTCATTTGCGTGTATGAAGCCATGCCCCCGCGGTCTGGACTGCGATGCGCGGTCCATGGCATGCGCGATCCCATGGATACGTTCTGCGTGGGGCGGGGGCGCAGAGCGAACCTGTATCCATTGACTCGCGGCCCAGGCGTGCAGACCGCGAGGCAGTGGGCATGGGTTCTTTTCCAGCCACGAAGAGAGAGAGAGAGGTGACCCCATTGGCGACGACCGGAACGATCGAGTCGAGCTCCTGCTTCGAGTGGGAGTCGAGCTCCAAGCTGGTTGCGCATTGTGCAGCACTGGGTCCTCCCCGCAGGGCGAGAAACGTATCTCGAAGCACGACCGGCTCCGCCTGCGCGAGCAGATCATGGAGAGCAGCCGCAGCGGCGAGTGCAAGGACGAGGCCGCCCCATGACCATGACCCTCCCGCGAAGAGACGGTCGTACGTTCACGTGCAGTTGCATGCGTTTTAGCAGTTTTACGAGCAGTGGAATTGGTGGCAGTTGAAATGTTGTAGGAGGTGTCCGCATTTCTTGTGTTGGCATGCGCACTTTGAAAGTCGGTGATGCTTGGGTTGATGGCGGAAGTGGTTGTGGTGGTTGTGGCAATTCATAGTGGAAGTGGTAGTGGAGGCGTTGCCATACGCAGCTTGCCGTGTCAGTGTAAAGTGTAAACTGCAGTGGTAGCGGCCATGACAGCGGTAGCGGCAGTAGCAGCAGTCGTAGTGGCACTTGTTGTGGTAGCGTTCGCCGTGGTAGCATTGGTAAAAGTAACAGTAGTAAGAGTGGCAGTTGCTTCAGTCGTCGCTGTGGAAAGCAAGCTGGTTGATGGAACACCCTAACTCTGGAGCGGTCCCACAAAGTAAGTTGGTGACTCGACATATGTATACACATGCGGTGCCGCGTGCAAGTTTATCGCATCAAGCGGCAGCGTTGGAGACAAGATCAGTAGCAGCCCAGCGGCGTTGTGTGGGAAACGCGGTGCCCCCACGCCCCCGCTGTCGAACCCCCAGAGCGATAATCGACAGACAACCCGCAACGGCCTAAGCGCCGCATTGGCAGGCACCCACGGAGCCCGTCCAGCCCACGCAGAGAGAAAGAGGAATTTTACGATGCTTCTGCTCGGCACTGGGCCTTTGCCTCAATCCCCAGCGGTTCCGCAGGGGTGATCCTAGGGGCGACATCCGCGACCCGTCGACCTTGGCGGCCCCTGCCGATGGCCATGCCAAGGAGCTTGATAGCGGCAACGGGTCGCGGTGCGACGCGCGGCTCCTGCCGTCGAGTCGGGGTGGAACACTTCATGCTGCCGCTTTGTAAGATGGCTCGGTGGCGACAGATCGCCCGTACGAGTTGTCAGACGACGCACAGTGCCGCGTAGTGCCTACCTTCGCCTCGGCCGCGGATGCGGCCGACTCTGTGGCCCCGAGCAGCATGTCCAGGAGCAGCTGCAGGAGGGTGTAGGACGGTCTCCTCGTTGCGGAAGGTGTAGTCGCAGCATTCCTAGCAGCAGCATTCAGCGTTGTCGTTTTGTGTGAGAGAGAGATGCGCTGGGAATAACTTGTCTCGCGCGATACTTTATGCGCGCAGATGGGTCATGATCTTCCTCCCCCACTATGCTTGCATCGCCACCTTTTCCAGAGGCCGTCTGAGCATTTGGTGTTGCATAGTCTGTGGCGGCCGTGGCACTGCACATCTCCCAGATCGCTGGGGCCCACAGAGAGTGGCTGCGTGGCTCGTGCCATGCTTCCGGCCTGGTCACAGACAACGGGTTTGACTTCTGCCCAGCGCTGCCATCCATGATGCCGTCGCGCCTCCGTGGTCCGATTAGTACTGCTGGAATGCCCCTAGAGAGGGCAGACACCGCAGCAGCCCACCTTTTTCCCGGAGAGGGCGGGGGCCCAGGGTTTTCTTTTAGTCGGTGTCTTCCCTCCCGGAAGAGGGCCGGCAGGTTTCCGCACGATAAAAAAACGAGGTAAGATAAACAACGAGGCAAAGTCCAATTCGGCGTGAAAAAAAATAGTTTTGCGCGTGCCCGCTCAAGGAAAGTCGACCCCCCACCTCGGATCCTCGATCAATACTGGGGTCCGCGGACCCCCGTTTTCCTTCGTGACAAAAAAGGTGCGGGGCACTGTTAGCAGAATCAGTAAAAAAACGAGGTCTGGAGCTCCGACGCGGAAAAGCGCCCCGCGCGCAGGAATTCCGAGGATGTCTCGCGCGTGTCGCGTCCCGCGCGCAGGAATTTCGAGGATGTCTCGACTAATTCGTTAGTATGTCTGGGATTTAGCGTGACAATGTTGAGTTTTGACATGCCCGCTCGAGGATGGTGCGCCCCCCGCGCCAAAACATCGAGGATGTCTCGAGCGAAACGCTTGTTTGGCAAAACTTGAGGGACCTGGGCGCCCCAGCATGCCCCAGGAGGCCCTGGGAGCGCGGACGCGGCGTAATCTACGAGGGATCGTGGCGTTGGGAGCGCGGACCACGCGTAATTTGCGAGGGGTCGTGGCCCTCGGAGCGCGGGCGTAGTGTAATTTACGAGGGGTCGGGGCCTTGGGAGCTCGGACGCAACGTAATTTACAGCGGATCGTAGCCCTTGGAGCGCGGGCGCAGCGTAGAATACGAGGGATCGTGGCCTTGGGAGCGCGTCCCGTGGCACGTCCATTGGCACGTTCCGTAGCGCGTCCCCTGGGCACGTCCCGCAATGCGTTCCCATGGCGCTTTCCTTGGGACGTCGCCTGGCGCGTCCTTTGGGACGGTCCGCGGCGCGTCCTCCTGGCAGGTTACCCTGTCAAGCAGCTCTAGGACAGCTACTATGTGCTCAGGCAGCTCGAGCTTCAGATCCAGATCAGTTCGGTCAGGACTCGGACGCAAAGGAGGACTCGATCCACAACGCTATAGAGCACAGTCGCGGCATGGTACATCGCAGTTCAGCACGGCGCAGCACAGCACAGCCCTCGGCACGGTACATCAAGATCGATACACTCAGCATTGCAACTTGTCACGTTCTCTGGCACGTTCCGTGGCGCGTCCCGTGGCGAGTCCCCCTGGCACGTCGCGCGGCGCGTCCCCTGGCACGTCCCGTGGCACGTCCATTGGCACGTTCCGTAGCGCGTCCCTTTGGCACGTCCCGCGGTGCGTCCCCATGGCACGTCCCTTGGCACGTCGCTTGGCGCGTCCCTTGGGACGTTCCGCGGCGCGTTCTCTTAGCATGTCTCCTGGCCAATCAGCTCTAGGGCAGCTACTAAGTGCTCAGGCAGCTCGAGCTTACGACCCAGATCAGATCGGTCACGACTCGGATGCAAAGGAGGACTCGATCCACAACGCTATAGAGCACAATCGCGGCATGGAACATCGCATTTCAGCACGGTGCAGCACAGCACAGCTCTCCGCACGGTACATCAAGACCGATACATCCAGCATTGCATTTGCCCGTCACCCAAACAGGTGTCTTTGAAACGTTGCCATGTCTTACATTTCTAGATTCCTTTCTGGGTTCGTGGGTCGATCATGTTTGGATAGTGGATTTCGTGGTTTGTTGATTTTGTTGATTTCCCTGTGGGTCGCTTGTGTCCACGATTGGACTCGGGTTCCCTCTCGGCCTCTGTTATCGTGGCGGTTGTGCATACCTGCAAACATTGCCCCGCATGTGCAGCCGCATTGATGTGGGGGGGTCTGGCGTTCCTGGGGGTCCAGTGCTTCGGCGATGGCATGTTGAAGGAGAGCCTCCTCTGTGCACTTCCTGTGTTTACCAGCCTGGAACAGATCCCTATCCCTATGCTGGGCATCACCTCGCCACGATGCCAGTCTTAGGGATTTCCCTATTCTTCGAGGGCGAATCCCTAGGATTGTCATCGCCTCTTGGCGTGTCAATCTTAGGGATCGGGATACGTTCGAGGCTGGTAATGTGTGTCTCTGGGAGGTCTTTCGGGGGTGCTGGGCGGAGGTCTGCTGCGGCCCTCCCCTCGGCGTGTCGGCGGCACTCGTGGGGGGCTCGCCTGGTGCGCTCTTCGGGGCCTCTGCGACGTCAGGTGTCCAGCCCAGGAGGGGTCAGAACGAGACGAAGAGCTTTGACTTATCCCCTACTCGTGCTTCTCGCCCTGTCTCTCTCTCTCTCTCTCTGTCTTGCCCTCGCGCCAGCTGCTGCCTTCCCGCGGTCGTCGCTTTCGCAGCCGCGCCGTCTTTCTGCGTATGCTACGCGCGCCTGCCCTGTTGGCCTCTGGGTGCGTGTTCCGTTTCCCACCGCCTTCGTTGTTCGCTTTTCTTCCTCCCTCGCGGCCAGTGCCCTCTGCCTTCCTGTTCTTTTCCTCGACGCGAGCCCGCCGAACACCAAAATCCGGGGCCCTCGCTGGTGTCCATCCGGCTGCCTGCGGCAAGTCCCGCCACCGTGCCAGTCCAGCATGTTCGGCAGCCCTCGTGCGAGTGGGCACCAGACGGCGTGCTCGCGAGGGATGGACAACATGATAACGATGATGAGGCTGAGGCTGAGGATGAGGATGGCGATTATGAGGATGATGCCACTGCTGGCGATGATGAGGATGATGATGAGGATGATGATGATGATGATGAGCATGATCATGATCACGATCATGATCATGATCATGCTGGTGATGGTGATGATGATCATGATCATGATGATGGTGAGTATGATGATGATGCTGCTGATGCTGATGAGGATGAGGATGAGGATGATGGTGATGATGCTGATGATGATGTTGATGATGATTATGCTGCTGCTGCTGCTGCTGCTGATGATGATGATGATGATGATGATGAGCAGGACTATGATGATGACGATGATGTTGATGATGCTGCTGATGGTGCTGATCATCATGACAATGACCATGATCATGCTGATCATGATGATGATCGTTGGGATTCCGTGGGAGGCCTCACGGTGACCCGTTGGAGGCAGTTTGGAAGCCTCTTGGAGGAATTGTGGGTTTGTTGGGGGGCTCTGTTGGGGTGTCTGGGGCTTGGAGCCCTCCCGCGGCTTTTCTGAGAGGGAGCTGGGGTCTGTTGGGGCTCTCTCGGGGCATCTTTGGCCCCTTCTGGGGCCAGTTTGGGGGCCTTCGAGGTCCCACTTGGGAGCTCTGGGGAGGCTCTTGGGGCCATGCTGCACAGGAGCCTTCACTGGATCGGTGTGAACGATGGAAATTGGGTTAAGTCGGGCCTGTCCCTCTACAGGAGGAGTGTTCAAAATAGTAAAGAAATAATCAGGGGATCATTTTTTCCCGGAAAGGGCTTAGGCCCAAGGTTCTCTTCTAATGTGTTTACCCCCGGTTCTGACGGCTGTAGGGCCAGCGAAATTATTTTGCGATAAATAACGAGGTCTCGTAGGGCATTATTTTTAGAGTGGCCCTCTCCAGGGGCACGCATATGTGTATTATTATGTATGTTCCTGTAGATT